TGCAACCAAACAAGAAGATAAAAACTGGTAAAGGATTGATTAATCAACCCTGTCATTCTCATAGATGGGATTTGGTTTAAAAAAAAAGAAAAGAAAAAAAAATCCAGAATGTACTAGTAAATTCAAATGTTGGCACAAAAATGGTGAAATTAAAAGCAGCTGTTGATAATATGTAAAACTTTCCTAACAGTATTTTCACTTGTGCCTAATCCTCTGGTACTAACTGTAGTCTACATTTATACATTTTGTTTGAATGCTGGTTTTGTTGCTTCATTAGCTCCCTTTTTCTCTTTCTCCTTTTTTTATCCTGCCTTTGCTGCTGCTTTCCATCTTCTGTCCAGCTCCATCTTTCGACAACTCCCTGTATAGCACTCCACTTCCTGAGTACTCCAGTTGCCAGCCTCCTTCAGCACCTCCTCCATCATATGCAAAAGCAGTGGCAGCACCGATGGCCGAGGCCACACCGGAGTACGCTGTAGTGACTTCTGCACCACCGACTTCCACTCCCCCTACACCGCCTCTTAGACACTCTGCATCGCGTTTTGCTACATCTTTAGGTTCAGCTTTCCACCCTGTTCTGCCCCATTACGCTACAGTTCCTCGTCAGCTCAACAAAAGTTCTCGGCCCCCTTCTCCTGTGAATGCCCCGGCGACTTTGCCCCCAAATGCAAAGCCCGTCGGCTGGTCCGCGCCCAGTTTTGCACCCCTTCCCCCGTCTCCTCCGGTCATGATAAGCAGCCCACCAGGCAAAGCTACCGGTCCAAGACCTGTCCTTCCAGTGTCGGCTTCGAATCCGGTGCCCCAAACGCACACATCTCCTACTGCTCCAAATGGTCTTCCTGAAAGCGTGACTCATCCAGCTCCTTCGCCTTCTACCTCAGGTCCAACTCCGCCTCCACCACCCCCTCCTCCCCCGCTGCCTTCCTTTCCGCCTCTCTCACTCTCTGGACCTCAAGCTTCTCCTTCTCCAAACTCTCCTAATGCCTCGACTCCCTCATCCAAGCCTAGTGTTCTCCCTTCTCCCTCTGCAGCTACCCCTGCCTCTGTTGAGAACTCTCTAAACTCTGTGCTGGGAGACTCCTCTGCTTCTGAGCCAGTCTTGCAGGCAGCCTCTCAGCCGGTTGAACCTACGACCCAGCAGGGTAAGGCTTTCTGTTATTGCTACTAATTCACTAATCAGGAATGCAGTCAAAACCAATATGTATTGACCTCCTTAACTGCCCCTGAAGAATTAATAAAGTGCTTCAAAAGTTGCAGTGATCTTAATACCACAGTGAAATGCAGTTTGGAAACTCTGGAACCGGAAGCTCCCTGGAGAAGAGTTGGTTTTCACGGTGATCCGTCATAAGGAAAATTCTAGTTTATTAAGCTCTCATTTATCAAGAGCAGAGTGTGTCAGATAACTGCTTGTAAAGTCTCGCGTTGTTAATTTATTTGGGACACTGTATTAATAGGCAGCATCGATGGTCTCCTCATGGCAGCAAAAGTGGGAGCAAATAGATGCAGCTTGGGTCTTGTGAATGGTCTTAGTGAGGAAGAATGTGAATTACTTTGATCCTCGTGAATGTAGTTTAAAAGTGTAGAAAGCTGTAACCACTACAGCATTTCTTTCTGGGAAGTGCTTATATTTCAATGTATGGATATATATGCATGCACTGGAGGACTGGGTCCTCCTGTGATGTTCTACCAATTTATCCTAAAGATTTTAGGAAAATATTTGGTTAAACAGATGGCAATTCTAAGGGACATGCTGCCAACATTATATAAATGTATTTTACATGGATGTAAATGTCTTTGCTAATTGGAATCATCTGTTTTATATTGATTTAATAAACATCTCTTTGCATGTAAGCATGAACTGGCTCTGCTAAGGATATGGGCAGACTAGTTGGGGTGAGGTAGATTATGAATCTGTCACACTCAGGCAATGCAGAGCAGATCCTGAGGGGAGGTAGAGCAGGTGGCCTCGTTTTTATTACCAGTGGGAGGCTGAATGACCACCAGCGAGATGAAACTGCTTTTACCTAGAGGCATTAGCACAGCAGAAAAACAGGAAGAATTTTGTGTGATGTCCAGACCATTAGAGCTCATGGTGGTTTGTCAGCACTTCTAGTAGCTAAAGGCTGTGTGCAATCACAGGTGGCTGGGGCAAAGATATGTGGGGATGCTGTTTTAATCATGATTTCTTAAACTGTATATAAACACTTCTGTAATTACTTCAGTAATCAGAATGCTCTTTCTTCAAAAGATGATTTATATTGCATGTTAATGTGGATGTAAAGAATTAAAGGAATCATTAGTCAAAAGCTGGAGGAGCCTGTCCCTGTTAACTTAAGTATGCCAGTCTTCTAACTCACTAATTAATGTTTGTATCCAATTATTAAAATCGATTCTGGAAATATCTCCAGATTTTTTTTTTTTAATACAGCTTAGAAATTGGTGTTGGAAGCCAAACATTTCAAGGGTCCAAATGTTTGGCTGTTGTTTTAAATGCTTGTTTTACAATGGGAAGTCTCTCTTGTGCAGTGAAGTTCTGACTGATTTTGACTGAAGTTTTTCTCTCAAACTGAATGTGTATCTCCTTCTCAAAGCTCTACCTGTTTCTGTGTAACCTTCTTCTTGGTTGCAGCCCAGAGCCTGACGGAAGGGTTACTGTATCCAAATATCCCTGCCGTTGCCTGTTGTTTTCTGGCTTGCCATGTAATGCTTTCAGTAAGAACTGAAAACTGCAATGCTTTCCTGCCTATAAAAAGGCAAAAAAATAACTCTAGTAAACTGAAAAACTTTTCACACACTGAAAAAAAAAAAACCAATATCTAAATAGAAATAATGAGATGTCTTTAGTCTAAATGATTAACGTAGTCTGTGTTTTCTCTTTAGCATTAGGTGTTGTCCAAGGACCACCTGCACCTCCTCCCCCACCTCCGCTGCCCCCCGGCCCAGCTCAGTCCTCAGTAGCAGTCCCACCTCCTCCCGGCCCACCGCCACCACCTCCGCTGCCGCCCTCAGGGCCGCCGCCACCTCCGCCGCCGCCTCCGCTTCCCAGCCAAGTTCCCCCTGTCCCTCCTCCGCCTCCTGCCCCCCCGCTCCCTGCCTCTGGATTTTCAGCGGGGTTTGTGTCTGAAGAAAATCGCCCTTTAACTGGACTAGCTGCCGCACTTGCTGGAGCCAAACTTAGGAAAGTGTCGCGGGTAAATGCATCTGTTTTCTCCGTTCTGGTTCAAATTTATAAATTCTGTGCCCTTCAACTGGTCGTATTTTTTTAAGATAAGTAGCAGTACAAAAGACATTTTGCATAGACTTTATTAAAGCACTACACGATGTACTACTAGTCCACCACATCTTTACATAGTGCTTTCTTCCTTCCTCTAGTATGTAACCTTAGTATCTTCGATTAGGTCAGTTACAAATTCTTTTGCATATGAACTGCTGTTTTGTGTATTACAAAGGGTGAAGACTCCTCCAGTTCAAGTGGAGGAGGAAGCTCCGTTTTGTCTAAAGCAGATGGTGGCCGTGGAAATGGGCCGCTTCCCTTGGGAGGCAGTGGATTAATGGAAGAAATGAGTGCCCTGCTGGCCAGGAGGTAAGTCGCTGTTTCTGGATTATAGCTGGCACATTTGGCTGAAGATCAGCTAAACATCTGCTTGCTCATGTTGTTGCTTTGGGAAGCTGGTAATGTTTTGTCAATAGCCATTTTTGCTGAAGTATAATTGAAGTATAATATTGTGCCAGCCTTTGTGCAGCAGTAGAGGATACAGTAGGGTCTTTGGCCTTGAAAGTGTATTTTAACACTTTTATTTTTAAGTACTAACTTTTTTTTAATACTAATTTTCTATTGTCCAGATATTGAGCTGAGTATATCTTTAATTACACTGCATAACAGCTTTCCATCTTAAGGCCATGATCTTGGTAACTTTTTTTTTCTTCTGTGCTTATAGGAGAAGAATTGCTGAAAAGGGATCAACAGAACCAGAGCAAAAAGAAGATAAAACTGTGGGTTGACAAATTATCTGTGTCATACTCTTCAAAAATGTATCAGTAATGATTCTACTGGTGCGATTGATGCATTTTTTTTCTTCCCTTCCCTCTTCTCCTTTCCTTCCTTTTAATCAGGAAGAATCAGAGTCTTCAACTTCCAAAGTTTCATCAACAAGCACACCTGGTAAGTAGCATTGGGTTTGTGGACTGTGTGACTCTAAATGCCCTGCTGAAATCCGATGATAAATCTGTTAGCTGTGCTGAATTTTGCAGTTTGGCTCTTATCCCATAATTAAAACCTGGCATTTTGCTTTCAAATAGCTTAGAAGTGTCTCCGAAGAAAGCAGATAAAAGTACTCCCACTAGAATACCAGTATAATACTAGTATAGTAATAGTTTAGGGACCTCCTGTGTTGAACCTATGAGACTAAAGCACAGAAAGCAATTGGCAGGGAGTGAGAAAACAAGTTGTCCTTCGTCAACAAGACGGACAAGTTGGGACAGTAGTTTGTTTTCTTTCAAGGCTGGCATATAAGGGTCTGTTCCAGTTTATAAGTATGTGAATTAGACCTTCTGCAAGCATAGGTCTTCTGCTGTGTGTGACTGTCAGACGCTTTTTGCAGTTACATATCATCAACTGTAGTTGGTGAAGATGCATTGTCAGTATGTATATTCATATGGTAAATACATGTATGACAAGGACTTGAGTTGAGACACAATTTTCCTCATCTTTAGTAGTGTCCCTACAAAGTTGGCTTCCCTGGCTACCTCACCCTATGTATGCAACTTTGGTATGAGGTTGAGGATGTAATCTACAGTCCACAGGCTGCTGAATGAGAGAGAGAGGAGTTAAATGTGTATTGATGGAAATAATGGGAAAGCTACTACCATTGTGATGCAGTAGATAGTCTAAAGAAATTAGCCTGCAAGGCCATTGGCTTTAATGGCCATTGGCCAGTGTAATTAAATGGCTTTAAAAAGGTGGAAGACTTAGTTTGTAATATCTTCTGAGCTTGCTTGATATTTTTTTTAACCCCTGAGATGATCACCTTGAAGAAATGCCTGCTTTTGGAATTTGTCCTAATAATGTAAGCCAAAAATGGGAAATCAAGAACAGTCAAAGTGAAACGGTTCTTTTCACTTGACCATCATGATAAGAAGCATCTTTGAACTTTTTCTAATGTCAAATTCACTCAAAGATTGACTCTTATAACTAATATAAACTAGACTGTAAAGTTGCTTTCTACGGTGCTTGCCCTTCAGAGTATAAGCTAATTAAAGAGGAGATGATGGTAGACGTGGTAAAATTTTGCCACTTATCATCATGCTGTTTTTGTTTGCATGTTTACATATAGTAAGTATCTTGGTATCATCTAAGTAAACTACAATCTCTTTTGGATCCAAGTACGACTTACCTTTAATCTTCAGTCTGTATTGTTTTGAAAGAGGAAGTCATATATGGCAGCTTTAAAAGCATCTATTTTGGGGTGGGACTGTGGAAAATAAATGTGGTGTTGATGGAAAAAGTGTTTCAGTTGCATGAAGTCATGTCATCCCTAATGTTGCTTCATGGAAGTGGTTATAAAATAATTTGTATTATAATTTTTATTAAAAACATACTCCCCACTATTTGAAGTTGACTCTTTAACTACAGCTTCAGAATATTGTCTTTCACAACTGAAGAAATAAAATATGTAAGGTAAAGGCAAACCTTTTTCCAGTTGGTTTGAAGATTCAAATAGCCTTCATGAAAACCAGAGACTTCTAGATGCTATCACAACATAAATGATAGCATGACCTAAAATTAGGCGCTACAAGAGGCTGTTTATTATGAAAGAGCCTAATGCCAGGTTGTGAAAATGTAGCTGACAAGTTCCCAGGTTATTGAAGCTTTCTCACATGATTATACAGTGAATAGAAAAGGACACTTTTTAATCTTTATTGTTATGTTTGACAGAACTAACGAGAAAGCCTTGGGAAAGAACAAATACAGTGAATGGAAGCAAGTCACCTGTTATCTCCAGGTATCTTTTTGACACTATTAGCTGTATGTTCCAAATGTTTACTGCTGTTGCTCATGCTGGTAAAAGCATTAGCCTAAAAGAGCATTTTGAGGTATATTCAATGATCACATTAAGGAGAAGGCTTGTGGTGTGCTTTAAAATTACTGCATATTCTGAGTACAGAGTTTGAGGGTTTCTGAGCTGTAATGATCTGAAAGTTATCTGAATTTCTTGAAAGACAAAAAAAAACACTTAAATTTGAGAATATTTTGTTTGAAGTAATTGAATTATCATCAACATTCTGGTATTTTGGAAACAACTATGTGACGTTCGATTAGAGAAGAAGTAAGTAGCGTTTCTTGCAGTTGAAGTTGTTGAGGTCTTTTGCTCTTATTAGGCAGCACTGAGCATCATCAGCCTATTGATATGTCTTACTTTCAAAATAAGCAGGTCAGTAGCTTAAAATTTCTCTAGTTTGGATTCTGACTGGCTTATTTTATTTTTTCTCCCCCTTCTCCCTCCTCTCTGTCAAAAACCTAGTGATATGTTATGTGGTTATGTCCTCTCTGCCGTACACCAGTATTGCAAAACTTTTAGGAATATAATGTTTTACCAGTCCTGATTTTATTTCCTTTTTTCTTTTTCTTCTTTTGTCCCCTCTTCCCCTCCTTTCTACATTCTCATCTCTGTAAGATCTTCCAAGTAGAGCTTACATTCTTTCAACAGAGACCACTTACTTGTTTTCAAGTGGATAAAGATAAAAGATACTAATATGTGGCATTTAGGGGAAATTTATCAAAGAAATAATTTTTACAGGGAATCCTAAAGTGAGCTTCAGATTTGATATTCACTAAACTGGCCCTTTGGATCTAGATCTCCTGTGTACAAGCAGCTAAAGGAAAAACAAAGGGATATATAATGGACAGCCTTTCCTTATCAAACTCCTTTGGGGAGTCTGGATTGTCCTTAAGTCCTGGTTCTGCCTGTCTCTCCACCCATGACTCCCCTTAAGCACTATTACACTGGTACTGTTTCAACCGATTAAATAAATTCAGAGGTTACTAAGTGTGCTTATTAAAAAAAAAAAATCTAAAAAGTAGAGAAACTGAGACTTGCTCGTTATTTATCTGTCACTGGAGATCCTTCATCTGCTAAAGACTAGAGGACCTGAATCTTATCTGTGCAGAGAGGGTACAGGTCACTTATGGGAATTAAACAAAGCTTGCTTTAGAAAAGCATGTAAACAAGTAAGCCACTCTTATGTTAGAGATTCCAGACCAGGACACAAAAAGAGCTATATATTGTTCAGCATGAGTGTTCCAAAAATATTTTAAAATAACTCCTGTCCTATTAAAAAAAAAAAAAAAAGCCTGTAACAGACTTTGAAAGATTTGAGCTCCTTGCTTTTTGTATTTCCTGGTATGTGCAAAACAGAATTTTTAGAACATAATTAGTGAAGCGAATGTGTTTAAGGCTCTAAAGATGAGTATAATCAAGCTCTATGTAGCTTGTTAAGGTAGTGTTTCCTCCCCTTCATAGACGGGAATCTCCATGGAAAAATCTCACTGGTTCTGAAAACAGATTCTATGATTCATTAAACAGGTATCATCCTGTTGCAATTTGAGACTTTGTAATAACCATTTTGAAGTTAAGGGTTGGACTTTTTCTACATGGATTAGTAATCACCACACACACGGTCAGGTACTTCTTAACATTTTATTTGCCCAGTTGGGCCCATTTTTGGATGGTTAAGAGCATATGGTTAAACTGGCAAACTGATATGGTTTAAGAGCCAGTGTTGAATTGGTGTTAAATATTGGATTTTTGATAATCACCACCTGCAAAGGTACAAATACCTCTTGGATCCGCTGGGGCATCTGCAGTGTCTTGAGAAGTAGCCCTTTTAAAGTTGCAAGTCCTGACACACAGGAGTAGCAATTATTTGTCCAGTTGAGTTTTCCCTTTTGCCACAAGATAAGAAGTAGATTTTGCCTGACTTGCATATGCAAAAGGAACCAAAGGAATTGTTAGAAGCAGAAATTAATGTTTTTGATATTGGACAAATTTGCAAATTTAGGATTAACAATGCATTTTAAGCTGCAAGTTTCAGTTCCACTCTGCAGCAGTAGTTGTAAAATACTAACATACAAAACCTTAAGATTTTAAAAGGGTTTTCAAATTCCAGCTTTGTTCATCAAAGCATTCACTGTGGTGACTACTTTTTCTTTTGTATAGAAAGTTCCCCTATTAGCTACTTATCTTGGGTGGTATATTTTGCATGTGGGCACGAACAAAATCTTTGTTTTATTGCATGTTTGATTTAAACTGTTTATGGAAATATCATTGTATCACTGTCCTAGTAGGCAATGCTATGAAAAACCACATGGGACAGCTCTGTAGCCATCTCGGGATGCAATGGCTGCGTTGTTTTACTGGCAGTTGTTCCATGCTGATCTGTTTAATTGTGACTGCAGTCACCTTTAAACTCTTTCTTGAGAAGAAAAAAGGACAATTTAGGAGGGGAGAAAACTAGATTCAGCTGAGGTAAAGCATTACCCAGTCTGCAAATGATGGTCTTTTTGGATATGGCTGAAAGAAGCATTTTTTTCAAGATCATTCTCAGAAAAAGTTGAATATAGTCTTAAAACCAAGTGATAGAGTTCATAAAGAGGCTTTCCTCTTGAACTTTGACAGATAATTATGTTGGTGGAGAAAACAGCATATGATTTGCAGTGCTATCTTCTTACTTTAAGGATCTGAAACAAAAGAAACAAGTGGACTGTTTGTAGGGATCAGTTCTTTAAAGTTTAAGTTCTTTTATTAAGGCATTGAAGTGTAATCCTTGTTTGAGTTCTTCCATTATAGCATGTGTTTGGTTCCTCTTACAAGTCGTAAGGAAAAACATTTAGGAGATCAGTCTCTTTTTTTCACTCGCACTGGGTAAATTCCATAATGCCATAGTGTATGGGACCAAAGTGTTAGGGAAGGAAAGGGATCAGAATTAAACTCTATATAGAGACTCTGGATTCCTGCTGTTTTGCTTGGAAAGAAGTCAGTGTTCACACTTTCAGGTGAGAACTGCAAAGAGCATTTTCAATGTATGATATTTGATGAAGCAGTAATTGTTGAAGATAATAGCTTGATACATTTTTGAGTAAATAATTATTTCATAAGGAATTTACTAGAAATTAGTAGATCAATATTTAAAGGCCTTTATAGAGGTTCCCAAATTGTGGTTTGTCTTCATAGCATTAGTGCATAGTATAGTTTTCCTGTGGGTTAGAAGGTGAACTCTTATTTTCCAGCTGCTTCCACTCTGAAGTTATTCAATATTTTATGTTCTTTCTTAAATTCAGTGGATCGTATATTTCATTTCAGTGTGTTTCAGGTCAAACACTGTTAGTAATGTCAGTCCCGCAGCTTGTGTTTAGGTTGTCTAGACAGCTGTAGCAATATACTGCTCCTCATCCCAAGCAAATAACCAAGTCCCGCAGCAAGGCACGGTTAGATGTTCCTGGCAGCCAACTGTTTTGCTGGCTTAACTGCTGGCAGTTTTTTCCCAAATTGCTGCCACTATGTCTGACAGAATTAACTTGTCTGTGCCCCAAAATAATTGGAAATCTTTAAAAGAATGGTTTCTACCACCCACAGTGTGGTTCTTGCCTTTTAAGAAAGATGAATGTATTCAGCCATGCCAATTTAAAATGTTTTGTCGACAGAATTGTTCAGTAGCTGTAAATGTGTATTTGAATGCTGCCAGGCTTTCAAGTGAGACGAATGCGACCTGCGCAGGTTGGGTGGACAAGAAAATATGCAATACTTGTGTCCCATGCTGCTGCTTAATAACATTTTTCACACTGAGGAATAGGTAGAAATATCTACCTGAGAGTACAAAACTGAGAACTTTTTTTGTACTATCAAAAAGGCAATTTAATGTGCATCCCCTTTTCTGTTGAGAGTCACATTTCAAGTGTTTTTTTCCCCTCAGAAAATAAGGGGAAATTTTCTTATTAGAAAATAAGAAAACGCTTCTGTCAATTTGTAAACCTCTTCCAGACAGTCAAGGATGAGACTCATTCAGCTAGTACTGAACAAATGTAATCAGGCAAATCTTAATTTCTTTATGGATGAACTGCTTTCTTGTAAAAGATGAATTAATTGTCTGAAGATAGGGTGGTTTGTTTTTTAAAAAGGAGGGAATTATTGTTCTTGTGGGTGAAAACACAGCTTGTGTTAGCTACATTGAAAATAACTAAATAAATAGAAAATTTCAAATCTATTCATGGATAGACCTATCTGTGCCTCTCGCATGTTCTGCTTTAATCTGAGGAACGACAGTTTTGATATATGTATTTGAGAGAAATACGCTGTGCCTTTCCAGCTGGTCTATCTTATTCCTGTTTCTGGTCACCTCTCATCTTAGTAAGCAAGATTGCACACCATAAAGTTAAAAAATTTAGGGAAAAAGTGCAGTGTTTTGCCTATTATTGTGATAACCTACCCTTATTTAAGGTTAGTATAACAGAAGAATAAACTTGGTCCTACTTCTTTGTGCCTGCGTGTGGCATCACTGGACAAAGAGTGTGGCCAAAATATAGTTTCTCACTTAGCAATTCTTATCTTAAGAGGAATTTATTCTGAAATTATCTGTCAGCGATTTTCTAAACAACTTTTTCTTGCTTTAACATTCTGTTGAAACACACTGAATGTTAGGCAAGACATGAAAAGCAATTAAGAGCACAGTGTGGATATTTAAACAGTGGTGGAAAGGGGTGAAGAGTTAGAACTTTGGCCAGATGATCAGACAAATCCTTGAGAGTGTCAGGCTGCTCTCAGAGCCCTTTGAAATGATACGAGGTATCTGAACTAACTTTATTTCAGGGCCCGCAGAGCTTGCAGTGTGAGGTATGTTGTTACCTGGCTGATATCTTCGAGACTCAAATGTCCATGGAGTTTGTAAGTTAGAAGTGTAACTAACACAGGTGCCCTGTAACCAGCTTGGATGCTATCAAGAGTTTCATTCTCTGGAATATTTTTCGTGTAACTTGCTATTCCCTTTTACTCTTTGTTCCCTACCACCCACCCTTCCTTGTGTTGGAGAACCATTTTTGCCTTTTTGTTCTTAATGTATAACTTCCACGGGGACTTACATATGCAGAGAGAAGTGTAGTAAGTCTACGAGATAGTTACTCATTGCGTAAATGACAAAGGTCAGAAAAGAGAAATGAGAGGGTTGAAAACATGCTTATTCTGGGAGATTTGTAAGAAATACAAAAGAAGCTTTTTGTAAGCTCACCTTAGCTGTCCTAGAGTATTACATAACTAAGCACTGGACACGACAGTACTCCAAAACATTAGAACTTACACTCAGGTGTTACTTACAAATCTTGCTGCTCTTAAAATATTTATGCTTTTGGTAGCTTTAGGAAACAATTCACAGAATATTTTGCATAGGAAGGGACTTCTGGGGATCCTCTATTTCAACCTCATGCTCAAAGCAGGAGTTGGAGAATGTTGCTTAGTCTGATCCTGTCAAGTGGCTTTCAGTCAGAGATAGTGTTTGTTTGAGAGAGACTCCTATAAAATGAGCGAGTTGCTTAAGGGGGAAAATAGTTGGCATTTGAAAGTTTAGTTTTCTGTGGACCTCATGAAAAATAGCAGAAACCACTGACTGAAATATGTCACCTAGTTGAATAGCTCTTGTTTTAACCTAATAACTCATGGTAATTAGTATTTTCAGTGTGTGGAAATTGTTCTTGGCTGTTAGTTTCCATTCTGTGTGGTATTTGGGTCTGACTTTTAATTCTTATTCTGATTCTTTAATATAGTTTTAATGAATATTAGCAAGTTTGGAGAAGTCTGTGTATACTGTAATAAGTGACCAGTAATTCATTGATCTGTTTTTGCATTTCAGACCAAAATCTACACCAACAGGGCAACCCAGTGCCAATGGAGTACAGTCAGAAGGTCTAGATTATGACAGATTGAAGCAGGTACATATATAATGTTTTGAATAGAAAATATGGGCATTAGGATTTGTAGCTGTCAAAAAAGAGTTTTGAATTTTTCATTAATTAGTTATATACTTTAAACAATTATTTTGTAGCTATATTAGAAACTTTTCCTCAAATTATTTTTATTTTCTTAGGAGCTGTAATTGTGTGTTTACCTACACAGCCCTATCATTTTTTTCTCAGATGTTTGGTCCTGCTTTTGTATTACACAACACACAAAATATGGTACTGTGAATGGAATTGGGAAATCATTGTATTTGGAAGGCCTTTTCTTCTCTCCCAAAACAACCAAATACTCAATAGAACACTTCGAGCAAAATAACCTTTTTTTTTTAATATATAGTTAGTTCTCTGGATCAGCAAGAATTCTGTGTAGCTCTATAAGCACATAAAAATGAGCTGTCCCTAGCTTCCAGCAGGCTGTTTAGCCCTCTGTGCGGGTTGGCTTGTCTTAGGACAAAACAGGCAGTGTGTGACACATTGCAAGTTGTTCCATGTGCTTCACACTGACTTCTTGCATAACCCTGCTCTAGGGGGAGCATCGTGTCTGTTCTTGCGCTGGCAAGCAGGAGTACAACTTGGAAGAGGTCACTTAAGCTTTGACAGCTGTTCTTAGCAAAGGAAAAGGAATGGAAGATAATCTAGAGAAGATAATCTGCACAGTAATATTTTAATAGCAACTGAACTGAAAAGCTTAAGGAAAAAAAGCTGAATCTCTTGATAAAGAGTGCAATTTTCTAGATGAGTTTATTGCTCTCTCTGATTACAGTTGTGCTGGATGCGACAGTGTACTTTCCAGGAACAGACAGTACTTTTCCTCCACTTTGATTTTTAAATACGTTTTCAGAAAATAATTATCTAAAATACCAAATCAGTGATAGGAAACGCTGTACAAAACAGTGCATAAGCGACAGCATTAACTTGGTCATTCTCATTAGGTCAAATTTCATTTATTTGTCTGTGTGATTCTGTCTCTGTATTTATCAGTGACATTGGTGTGGTGTTTGAACTTAAGTATGTCCCTTCACTTGTCATAAATTCTGCAGGAATAGATTTATAGGACTTTTGCAGGATATTTATTTGTTAATAGTGCCTGCAGTAAGGATGGTTTAGATTTGGGGATTAAATTTAAATATAAAGGCTGGCTTGTAAATTTGAAAAGGGTTTAAGGTTATCTAAAAGTTAGAATAATTTTAGACTTTTCTTGTTTGAAAACAAGATATTGTAAAACTAATTTATTACTTGCACTCTAACATAGGATATTTTAGATGAAATGAGAAAGGAGTTAACGAAATTAAAGGAAGAACTCATTGATGGTAAGTATCAATTTGTTTGCTGTTTTTGTCAAGTCTTGGAATTCTTAATTAGCTAAAGTTGCACAAAACATGTAAACTTAGTATTTCTAGCCTAAATATGACAGACTGGGAGAAGTTTTGCTTGTTGGCATATTTTCATTTGTATCAAACATTCTAATTGGTGTGCTGGTGTAAGGATGTTTTATTTCTTCTTGTGTGTATGGGGAGTGTCGTTCTGTTTAATAGTACATTGACTCCGAGTCGTGTCTAAAAGTAGTTGGATGTATGCTAGTTCGGTGATTTGCTCTTATCCGAAATATCGTGGCTGTACGTAGGTATTTTTTGTAGTTAATCTAGAGCTGGATTAGGATTTAGGGCACACATTTCTAAATTTAATGTTCAGACTATGCTTGTCGTTTCTAGCTTTCAGTCTTCTCGTGCTTGGTCTCAACAGCAAGATTCAAACCAGTTATTGCTTTTTCATTGCAAGATTCTTTTTTTTTCCATTGCAAGATTCTTTTCATTTCAACATAAAATAATCTGTAAATATGGGAAATTACTGAGGAAAAAAAAACACATAAAGGTCCAAGAATTGGGAAGTGAATAAAACACTCTATACATATATTACATAACAGACATCTGTATATAATGTATGAGTAGGGTCGTCTGGAGTGATTTAAAATAACATATGTGAGTGTTTTTTGTCTTTATGGAAGAGGCCAGAATGAAGTATGAAAGGGGTAGGGGGGAAGGCCATGTTTAAACTGTTACTGCTACTGCTGATACCATCAGCAGATGGAAGGAGCTGGCTGGTCCTGCATTACAGAGGACACAATGCTTTTATTTAACCTATATTTTGAGCAGTAACTATATGTTTAATAAAAGTGTGGGGTTTTGTTTTGTTTTTAATATTTGGACTGTGCTGTGTGCCATACAACTTTAGAAACACCATGATGCAAACAATGTAGGGCCCTGAGAGTCGTCTTTTTTTTAAACACAACTCACCAAAAAAAGTCCACATCTCAATGAATAGTGATTGTCATCAGCTAAGGTATTGGATTCATTGAAGATGCCAAACTAAAAAAACTATACTGTGGAAAAAGAGGTGCTGCCAGGTTGAAAATGACACTCTTATATGTAAGATAGTTTGATGTGATTTAACTTACTCCTTTTATGAGATGAATTTTCTTTAAAAGATTACCTGTGTATTCTGTTTTTCCTCCTTGACTTAGGATGTTTAATTTGTTATTTTCTTTCTCTCTTTCCAGCTATCAGGCAGGAACTGAACAAGTCGAATACTGCATAGAAAGACTAGTACTAAGCTGATGTGACTCTCTAACTTGGTATAAAACTGACTACATTTTTGTGAGCTGTTAGAAGAAAATGGAGACAGACACTTGGAAGGAGGGAGAAACAACATATTCTGAAAAGCTTCAGACGCATCACTCTGGTGATATGCTATTTCCCTCCTAGTTTGCAGCTTTTTTCTGACCTTTACAGCAAGGTGGAAAAGAGTCTTAAAGTTACTGTAATGAATATGCAGAAATTCCTACACCTATCAGACAAGATCACAGTGCTTTGAAATATTCACATGTCAAGATAAAATTGCACATGTTTCAGAATTTGTTGTTTAAAAAAAAAACAGGGAAAAGCTTGGGAAGGCTTTTCAGAGAGGTTTTCTTTATTAATGAAGGATTTAGCAAGTTATACTGTTGTACTTCAAATGATTCTCAGGTTTGTCTTCCTATCATATCTGGTATTTCCATGAACAATTTAAAAGAGCAGATGTGTAAGTTCAGATCACAAAATATGGAACAATTACCAATGTGTGCTTTTAAAGGGCAATACTTGTAAGTGAATGACCTAGACAGTGGTGACATTTTGAGATTTCGGAATTTATGATAGGAAGCCTCTCTAGTTAGCCTTCATGCAATTTTATAGGAGAAAAAAAAAGCAAATACAGTCCAGAGATTAAAGATGTAGATGCCTTCCTACATTGTTACAATGCTTTACCAAATCTAAGACTTCTACATAATGCGAATCAGCAGTCAAATGTAAATCATTAGTATGTTGTAGATTTACAGTAGATTTTGGGGCTTTTTTTAGATTTATGCATGTGGACATTTTTGTAATGTAACACAACAGATTCAGCTTTTTAATTAAAAAAAAATTGCATGTCACAAATATTAAGTAGCCTTTTCATTTTTAAGGCTTAATTTATGCCCAGAAAAATGCGGGATAAGGGAGGGGAAAGATAACACATTTTTATTACTTTCTACACTTTTTCTTCATATTACATGCATGTGTAATAATGAAGAAAATGTGACTTTTATCAGTAACCATGTTAATGGAACCAGATACTTAATCCTTTTTGTATCATTTTTTTCAGTTTTATATTTGAAATTCACTAATACTTCCATAAGGTTTCTGAAACTCCCATGTCAATCCAACTTAGTTCTTGGTGAGAAAACAAACATTTGGACTTGAATTACAAAGGATGAACCTGTGTGAGTGCAGCAGCCCCTACCTTTTTACCGCACCCCCTTGCTTTGATAGCCTGATGAAACAGGACAGCAGTTACACTGGAACAATGGAGCATCGGGGGCGGCGGGACAGTAATTTGGCCCCCCTCCCCCTCAATCAGTCTGCCACCCTCCTTAAAAATATATATATGTATATATGAGAAAACAAACAAAAAAGGCCCAACCGCACACATAACCCAAACCCTGAAAAATAACTGTGGTTGCCATTGGCTTCAGGCAGTAATTGGAGAATTATTTTCAGGAGAGATGAAATCCTTCTTTCCAGGGTTTTCATATTTAACACTTGTACTTTTTTTGTTGTTGTTAATGTGGTACAGTTCAGTAGATAGAAATGCGGTGAATCAGATCTGTAGTGCTTTGGGAAAAAATGTGGATGAAAATCTTCTCTTTTCCTTTGCACTGTGAATTTTTCTGAGCTGCAACAGTGCCATGTTTGCTTTGTGATCTGTGCTGATCCAAAAGAAAAGTTTACTTTTGGAGAGATTAATGTTTCAGCTTAAAAGTATATGCAGCTCAATTAGTAGAAAAATGCTTTCAATAACATACCCTCCTAAGTGCTGAACACCAAAGCAAAACAGCACTTAACTGCTTCAAAACAGCTTGAATCAGAAACTTTCTCCAGTTAAAATATTTCCTGTTTCTACAGATCCAAATTCTAAGACAAGACTGCAGTGGAAATATTGCCTAATCCCATTTATTAAACCTTTTTCTTAATAAAAAAGAAAAGAAAAAAAACACACACACAAACATTTTTCTGCATGCATTGTTGAAGGCATTAAAAAAATCTGTAGTAAGCTTGTAAAATACTGTTTTTTCGCAAGAGGAGGCATTTTCATCTTTGTTATTGTAACTTTTTTGTTACATTAAACATTAAGGAAGTTAACCCTTGTCAGAAATCATGTTTCGTTTGTTAGGAAAGTTCAGGAATAGTATAGTGGAATAGTGCGATGGGTATCAGTGGTCCACAATTAAATCATGAACTACTAGATTGTGCAAGGAACTGGCTTATGCACTAAACGTTTTGTGCCTTGGTCTAAAATTAACATGATTTCTGTTTAAAAGAAAACGGATCAGATGTCTTCTTTTGTGCTGCTTCTACATACGTACTTTCTGTAATCCCAAATTGCTGAATTGGTTCTTTCCAGAATATCTGACTGAATTAAAGATTACTGTAAACATCTCCTGTCATACTGACAGTTGCACCATTTCCAGAGATTTCAGTATTTAAAACGAACTACAGAAGCTAAGATTAATTTGCTTAGTGGTAACTAAGTCCTTTAAAAACATATTGTGGTGGTCCTGTGATTTTTGTACAATGGATGTCTTAAGCTGAGTCCAGTCTAGGGGATCCTTTCTAATTCCAGGAAAGCGCTGCTTTCCTCAACACTGTGATCTGATCTGTGAGAAACCTGTACTATAAACAAGTGGCTAACAAGTCAACTGCAAACAAACTGAATGTAAAAATCTTAGTGCTGGTGCTGAAATCTCTTCAGATAGTCATACTGATCTCCAGTCTGTTGTTTTAAAAAGTTATCAAGCATCAAGTGTCAATCAAAACTGAAGATGATCACTAATGAATGTTGAATTTTTATGCATTTAGGTTTACCTTCTTTTTAGTTTCTCAGTTCATTCTCTGCTATTTTTACCATATTGTGTCCTTTACAATTTCTTACATGCTAACGTTTTGTTTGAGCGAATGAAATAAAATTGCAATATATACATGTTGCCACCATTTATTTATAGAACTCCATAGCAGAATCTCCTAGGTTTGCTGCAACAATTCTCAGAAGGGTTCAGTGAATGTGATAACTTCTTATTTCTTAATTTCACCACTTATTTCTTGTTTTTTTCTTTGGAAGATTTGGTAGAGAAAATTAAATGCTCACCTAACAAAGAACGTGATTGCAGGGAGTGTTACATTCATGAACGTACATACAGTAGTTAACATTCAAATACATTTAAAATGTATGCTTTTGTTTGCATTCTGAGGTACGGGATACTGCCATCTGTGTGTCCACAGAGAATTTAGAAATGAGGGAAAGAATGGAGTGGGGCTATGATTACAGTTCGCTCAGCTTTTTTTCTTACTGCCTTCATGTTAATAACACATTTTTCGATGATGGTAATAAAGAAAACCTACCATGAAAGATTAATGTAGCTTTCTGTACACTAAGAACAGTTTTGCTCAATTTATTTTCAAGCAGAATATTGGAAGTAGCAATTTGAATACTCCTGACGTTAGAGTCCTGGAAGCTGTACTTCCCCACTATCGCTTTTCTATTAGAAGACATTGATATTTTAAATCCTCTTCTGGCTTGTGCGGTACGTCTTCATGTCTGTTGCTTTGTACTCCCATTTCACTTGCCCTGCTTTTTACAGACTTGATGTTTGTGCAGTCATTGAAGAAGCAGTCGGTCTGTGTTCGCTAGGACAGTTTCTTGTGCTTTGGTGAGCAGTAATTGCATGGCCACATATAAAATGTGGCATCTCTTGAACTGCTGGCTGTCAAAACCTGTTACTGCCATCAGAACTGTCAATGTAACCAACCCGACTAGTCGGGTGGAGGCTTGCTGTTTCTGTAGCCTGCAAAATAATGATGTGGACCAGCATCTCGCTGATGCATTTTTGGCTCTAGGTCAAGTGAGCAGGTAGGAGTTCCCAGTGTTTGCCCATGTAGCACCTACACTTAAACTGCCCAGGAAGATGCTTTGCCTTTCTGCTGCGGGTGAGCTTTCATACCTGCCCTCTGGCTCCAGGGGAGCTGAAGCCTGTCTTGCAGGAGAAATTAGACTTAATTTTACAGTGATGCTAATGCACAATGCTAAGGTATGGATTTAGTTCCTATAGGTATTGGGAAGTCTTTTAAACTGTTGTTCTGCCTCTAGTCATTTGAGGGCTAGTTACTGCACAGGATGAGTTTAATATTTTTGGAGTTCAGGTTACAAACAGCTCTCAGTTGCTCTTTTTCTTTATTCATTAGCTTAGCTTTTATGTTATCTTTGTTCATCAAGAGCTGAAATCAAAACATAGTCCCAAGATGCTACCGGTAGGGCATATGTTCTGCACACTTGAGATATACATGAAGCATGTTGAGCATTTTTGGCTGAAGGGAAGATCAAGATTGAAGGGGAAAAATTAGTTGCTGTTTTGAGTATATAACACAACCTTCTATGTCATTTACCTGTTTTATGCAATCTTGTGCGAACTTTTTTTTTTCCCAAAATTAATGGAGTAAATCAGTGACAAGTTTGGTATCAGTCACAATGAATTATAAAGTTTCCTTCCCCCCATTCCTCCCAGACAAAACTGTCAAGAGATTCCCAAATGGGTTCCTGTCACTGGGATAGTATTTTGGCAGCAAGTGAAATGATTCCTGGTTTAAGTTTGAGCAGTGTTATGAAAGCTGTGCATGAGTGTCAGGATATCTGTTTTTTTAAATGCTTGCTGCCAAAGGAGGAAAGTGGCATGTATGGCCGATCAAACTTGTGGGTATCAAAACATTAAATAATCTCTTCTGGAAACGTTTAAATAGTCTTAACTACAGTGCTAAATATTGCTTGCCAGGGTGTCTTTTACACTTAGGCATGTAAAAAGCTGGTAAAATCAAGAGAAGCTCTTGCCTGTTTTCAGAAGGTGAGCAAAACCAGGCTGAGGGGAGCAAATAGTTTCTAACGCTGGCTGTGCACCCAAGACCAACATAATTCTTTGGGGGGTCTGTAAATTTTTCTAGACATTATTTTAAATGTGATCTATCCTTGTGGTGATTTGGGATTTTTTTTATTTATTTTTTGGGGGATTTGGGAGGGGTGTGTGGGTGTGGGTGTGTGTGTGAGACCAGTTGCTAGCTGGATTTCACTCCATTCACCACCTGGCCCTCTGTTGTCACACACATGCTGTGCGATTGCCCTTAATTTGATCTGCTCCATAACTTTCCCTGATACAAAGATCAGGCTGACAGGCCTGTAGTTCCTGGGACCTTCTGTCTGAGCCCTCTTGTAGATGGGCATCACATTGGCCAGTCTCCAGTGATCTGGGACCTCCCCTGTGGACCAGGGCTGCTGAAAGGTGATGGAGAGTGGCTCGGCCAGCACTTCCACCAGCTCCCTCAGGACCCTCAGGTGGGTGTCCAAGGGGAGTAGCAGGTCACTGACTTGTTTCCTCATGGATTATGGGGGGTTTATTCTGCCCTCCACAGGTGTCTTCCAGCTCAGGGAGCCAAGTACATTGAGGATAACTCATCTGGATGTTAAAAGACCGAGTCAAAGAAGGCACCAAGTATCTCAGCCCTATCCTCATCCTGGTGACTCCGCTGTATCCAATAAAGGATGGAGATTCTCCTTGGCCCTCCTCTTGTTAATGTATCCATAGAAACGTTTTGGATGTCTTTTACTGCAGTGGCCTGATTGAG